TGCTATAACTTTAGGGAGTCATTCAGTGTTAAAAACCTGAGAAAGGCATTCTTTGCTATAACTTTAGGGAGTCATTCAATGTTAAAAACCTGAGAAAGGCATTCTTGGTCTCGCAGCTTCACTGAGCTGATTCCATGGAGTGTGACAACAATAAAATCCAGTGTTTCAAATGGATGCCACAGACTATGACTGAGTTGCTGCAGGTGGGGAACAGTCAGCACACAGAGCCAGGGCTGTGCTCAGGGTGGGGATGGACTCACACAGTGCTGCTCCTGGAGAAGGGCAGGTCAGAACACAGCAACACTTCACTCTGTGTCACTAAGGCAACGAGAGGGAACTGAGGACTCCTGGCAGAGGTGCTGGCCAGGGTGGGTGACACTGGCTGGCTTTGTTGGAGCTGGCTGTCACTTTGTGTAACATTTTCATGTTTGACCTGTTTGACTGTCATTTGAAGACCTGAATGACCCAACACTTGATCCAAAGATGTATTTTTTCCTCTTTAGTGCAATTTTTTAACTTGCTGGATTTTCACAGAAATATGCATCATTATAACTAGTTTTTTAACTTACTACTATATTTATCCATCATTTTAATTTGATTATTAATACAATAGTATTAATTCTTAAGAACAATATAATGAGAGTTCAGATGCAATATACATAAAGGCTGAACAAAAGGAGAGAAAAGTTTCTTCAGCAGAGGCATTTTTAGTGTGAGAACAGCAGATGAGCCACTGTTAACTACAAACTAAACTTGGCTTATAGTCCATGAAAGTAACAATCCATACTTCCATTGCTAATAAATGCTGTATAAAACACATTAAAATGATGTTGGAAAATAAAATAAAGATAAAAATATTATAAGGGTAACTTAGAGCAGCTGTTTAAATGCCAAACATTGCCTGTGAGCTTTGTCACTGATGCAACTCAACCACGTTGGAGCTGTGCAGGGACAGCTTCGCTCCTTCCCCTGCTCTCTGCTGTCCTTCCAGCACATCCTTCCAGCACAACCAGCCCAGCCTTTGCTCTGCTCCTGTGGAGACAGAATTCCAGAGCCACACTTGATGCCACTGATCCCCTGATGACACTCTGCTTGCTGCTGGCAAGTCTGTGGGGATGTTTGGACGCTGCCTGCACTCCCTGGGCCATGGACTGGGCTTGGGAACGAGGATGGCACCATGGAAGGCAGGTGTGGCTCAGGGAGGCTCTCCTTGTGCAGCTCCTTCCCAATGGAAAAGGCAAACAGGCCTGCAGTGCCCAATTCCTGTCCCTAACTAAAAATAAGGCATTTGTATTATTTTTCCAACGTACCCTCATTGTAAGAGATAATTTGGACCTTCCAGTGCACTTTTAAAAACCTTGTACAATTCAGAGAAAACTCCTGTTTCATGCAGATGAAATTCAATTAGACCAGTGGAAAGTTTACCAGCTCAGGAGGTCCATCTAGTGGAGAACACACTGAGTACAGGCCAAAAAAACCCCAAACCACACAAACCTGCGGCTCAGAAAGACGAGCAAAACATTAGTACAATTACCTAGGTGGGATGAGCGGACCCAATTATTTACTGGCAATTTCAGTGTAATGATTTCCAGACACAACACAGCCTCGTGTTTTTAAAATTCTTACACAAAATATTTGTGCAGCAGCTTTATCTGACTGATGTGCCAATGCATATTATTGATTTGAAGCAAAACAGCAATGACATCATCGTGGGGAAAAAAAACAACCAGACAATATATATTTTTCTGGACTTGTTTAATACAACTATTTGCAACATAGTTCAAACACGAGTGCTTAGAGTGTTGTTTTCTCTTAGAAACTCCTGCTGAAGTCTAATACCACAAACAAGACTGAGATCAAACCATCCCTAAATAATGACTCGATCCCTAAATAATTTCTGACTCCATTCTGGATCAGACAAAGTGGGTCTTCTGTACATACAGGCCCAAAACAAAGATTCAAAGTGAAATTCAATGTGACTTCTCTGGCAGTCATTAAAATAACCTACACAAATTGTTAAAGACATATTTGAAAGTAGCACGTGCTAAAATAAAATTACATATGACCTTTTAGCAGATTCAGTAAAATAATCCCAAATCTCACAGATAAGTGGAGAAGTTTTATCCACAAAGATTTTAATATTATTAAGGAAAATATGGTTTCATTACAACAGTTTCCTTGAGGGTAAAAAAAAAAAAAAAAAAGTTGTCAAATTTTCCATTATAAAAGAGTGTTTATATTCACCTTGAAGTTCAGGAAGGAATCTGAAAAATCTCCCTTCAGAATTCAGTCTTTGATTGAAACAGGGTCTGCAATCCTCTGCGAACATTGCACAGCTCCTCTTCTTGCTGTGCAAAAAACATCACACTTGTCACATGCTTTTGAAAAAGGAAGGTTTAAGTTAACATGTTGTACTCCTGGTGCACAGAATATGCTGCTTTTAACAGATCAAACAGGATACTTTTCCACATATTAAGACTCAGAACCAAACCAGTACATTCACATCTACCTGTGGCTTTTATCACCCGGGTAAGGTCTGAAGTGCAACATGTCAGTGATACTTGGATTTAAAATCTTAGGAATTTAGTGTTCAAACAGCAAAAAATAAATAAAAATGAGTGCAAGATGACTTCATTTACCATTTCTTTTAGAAGTTTCTCTTGGATTCCTTTTATGTCCTCTTTCATCAGATGCATCTGCAAAAAAGATCCTGAATGCATCTCCTCTGCTCATAACTGGTGACACATTTTCAAGCAAACAATTACATCCCTAAATGTTTTATAACTAAGAGACAGAGATGCACATGCATCCACTTGCCTGTGGAAAGGGATGTGTGTTTTAAATTTGTTCTTTCTGGGATGAATAACATAAATATTCATAAACAAAATAAACAAAGCCATGGAATCCAGAATAAATCTGGGTAACTGCACACATCTTCTAATGGGTGAAATCTTGGCCTAAAACAGTGAATATTGTTAAATTAAGGGCATTTTATGAGAACTAAAACCCAAAAAAAAGTATCATCAATACAATGCTAAGGATAAAGTCTTTCTTCAGAAAAAAAAGTCAGTACTGGTACCTGTTGGTGCAATTGAAGAATTATTAAAACAAGAGTGAAACAAAAGCTCCTCATACAAAACAGAAGTTCCTCCTACCTCTGAAGTAAAAATACGTTCTTCATAGTCAACAGAATGGTAGATATTCTTTTCAAATGAAGTTTTAAGAACCTGAATTCTAAAGAAACAAAACACAGTTCAAACAGTTTTGCTAGGTATAAACTTCCCACACAGACCACAAATAGGCCCCATTATTTGTAATCTATTTGTACTTTAAAGTGTGGATAAATATCATCATCATTGCTGGAACAGTCCCTCAGGTATGTGGAGAAATTTAAATGGAGAATCATTACATTTTTCCTTTAATGTAATATTTTAATCTAATTGTCTCATCTCATCTACCATCTCTATTTAATGGAAGAAACTGCACAAGGAATATCAGTTGGCCTGACTTGTGCCTCAGATGAACAGCCCACAAACCTCATCCCAGAACTGACAGAGCCCACTAACCTCTGCTGCTCATTTTTCATGTAAGTACTCAAAGTACTTGTCTGTTTTTTCCAAAAGGTCTGGAAAGATAGAATATTAACAGATGCTGATCAATAGGAACTGATTTTCCAAGCCAAAACTGACCAATATCTCATATGAACAAAATAACCCACAACTCAGCAGAGCTGCACAGGATTTACACAGTCCCCACAGAAGCTGGAAAACCAGCCCAATAAAGTATTAGTAATAGTTTATCCTAGGAGGAAAAACATACAGTAATTCATATAGTGAATATATATAGGAAAAACACGTAGTGACCAAGGAATTCTCAGAGCATTGGCCAATCCCAACACCTCAAATTCACTGTTTGACATTTCACCCAACTTGAAGCAAAATGATAAAGGCTTTTAAAATCAAAATTAATAATCTAAAGTTAAAGATGACATGAACAATCTATGGATCCCATAAGAATTCACTTTTCCCCACGATCCAGCTGTTTAAATACAAACCGTGAATTCTTTTTCCATGTTTTTCAGGGACTGGGAATCCTTTTCAAAATTCTCCAGTTCCTCGATGAGAGTAAAATGAAATTTGTCCAGCTGCCTGATCCTACCAAAACAAACCAGGTTCCTTTTAGAAGGTATTCCTTGCATTTGAAGGATGTTGTAAAGTCCATCTGTCATGACTGACCTGCATTCGTGGAGCTGGTAACTCATTGTTGTCAAATGCTGATGGGCAGCTTTTAATGTTTGCTTATTAAAATGATCCATTTTCCGGGAGCGGTTCTGTGAGGGTGTTTGAACATTAAATTCAAATTATTTTCACTTTAGGGAAAAAACTGTAATATGTTTAGTACTCTTAATTGCTTAACATCACATTTTTTAAAATGGTCCCCCTGTCCTTTGGGGAAAAGTTTTCTCTCAGTGACATGTAAATACATTTGGGGTTATTATGCTTTTGATGAAATTCTACCTAATATAAGTAATGGTGTATTATTTGGAAAATATACCCCTTCAAAACAGAGAAAGTACATGTGGAATAAAAATAAAACAGGCATGGCAGAGAAGGTCATTGGAGAGTTTAGTACATAAAGGAATCGAAAGAAGCTTAAAAGGAAACATGAATTCTGTCATCTCCTGACATTCTGTGCACTTGGCTTAAAGGGACATGAAAACCTAACTGTGTGGTGGAAGCCAAGCTATCCCCCACATGCACATGTACCCCCAGCTGACACTGCACAGGAAGGGTCTTGCCTCAATTTTCTTGGTAAATTCTTTCTGGAGCTTCTGACATATGCTGAGAGTTGAACAACCAGGTTCCCAGAATTGCCCATCCAAAGCAGAGAGCTCATTGAGGGATCGAGTGGAGATGCTCTCAGACACTGCAGAGGTACAAAAGGATAATGTCAAATTCAGGAGGAAAAAGCAGCAACCCAGAGTTAGCACAGGGCCTAGGGCAGCTTCTGTTATATATCAATTCATTTCACCAATGAGATGAAACCACTTTCTATTTTCATATAAATTTTCTGTCTTTTTATATGGCTACAATCTCTAAATATTCAGCATTTTTATTTCTTTTCTTTGACATGTACAATGCTTTTCCTGGGATATTACATTTCCTTGTTAAAGCTTCGTCACGTTATTTTAAACTCTTGCACAACTGTATTCAACTGTCACTCCATGACCAACCTCTGTAAGTAGCAGCATCATTTGTTTTAAATAACTTTTTGGGCTTTAAACTGATTCTTCTCCTTCCTGTGTTTTCCTCCTCTTTGCTGGCCCGTGCCTCCTCAGAGCTGCTCTCTGTGTCACTGTGGTATCTTCGTTTCAGGAATGTCTGCACAGTTGGCCCTTTAATCAACATGAGCACAAGGCTTAATTTTAGGTTTATTTAAAACAACAAGATGGGAGGATAAAGAGGATTTTATTCACCTGTTGGATCCAAACTCTTGGAATATGTGTCTTGGCTTTAAGAGATGAGAATGATATAAAACAACAAGAAGATTTCTATGGAACACAGAACTCTGACTAATCAGCAAGTCTGGCATCATTTCCTGACAATACCATTATCCCCAGTTTTTTTCCCCAGTATCAGTGGGAATGCTTCTAACTGTTTCTTGGGAGCACAACTAATTCTTCACTGCAGCTGCATTTTGGAGCCTAATTTTCAGCTTTGTTTGGGGATAATTAAATGAGAGAAAATTAGAAAAGAGCTAAAAATAGAATAATACTGAAAATATATAAAATATAACAATGTGGCCACATTTTTATACCAAATAAAATATTTTTCTTAACCTTTATTGAGACATACAGAAAGTATTTTGCTTTAATTAAATGTTTGTACCTGACTCATTTACAGGGTCGTAAGGTTCTTCAGTTGAAGACTGTGCTTTACTCCCACTGGAAGCAGACAGTGGAGATGGTGGTTCACAACCCTAAAGAAAAGCCACTGATTTATTAGCTTCCAAATTATATCATTTTTAGAAGTCTCCATCAAAAAAGCACATTTATGTGGTGAAAAATCATATATTTTCTTTGAAAGTCACTCCCTGTCTTTTTTTAAAACATGAATTATAACTGATCTTGTTGGGATACAATTCTTTCATATGATAAACAATAAATTGTATCCATATGATAAATCATAAAAATACGATATTTATCTCAAATATTTAAAAAATAACTACTAGAATTTTCCAAGCAGGTCCCAAGTAGACATTATATAGTGTTTAATATTGAGAGAGATGCATTGCCCTTAAAGCTTCCACTGTAAAGGAGGTGAAATGGATAAGCTGGAGCTGACTTCTGCAGAGCAAAGAAGGCATTAACTTACCTCTTTACTTTTAGTGAGAGCTTCAGTGGTATCTTGTAGTTTTCCTTTAACAGAAAGTGTGTCTGAAAAGCAAAATTGGAAACTTGAATCTTCATTATTACTCCTTGCCTCTGACACAGCTCCCTTTGCATGTTTTCCACTGTCAGGTTTATATGTCGTTAAGCTGAGCTACACAGGAACCAAAAAAAATCATTATTGAGAGATGTCCCTTAAAAATCACCAGCTGGAAAGTAGATCAAACAGACAAAAAGCAAAGAATTTAGTACCATACCTCTTCTTTGCTTTTGGTGACAGCTTTAGTGGTATCTTTTGGTTTTCCTTTAACAGGAATTGTGTCCGAAAAGCAACGCTGGAAACTTGACCCTTCGTTACTGTTACAGGTTTCCAATCCAGCTCCCTTGGAACTTTTCCCACTGACAGTTTTATATGTTGTTAGGTTGAGCTACACATTAAGAAAAAAACCCCAAAACCATTATTGAAGGGAGATGTAGAGAAGCACAAAATAGTTGGCAGCTCAATGGAACAACTTCAGTTAAAAGGACTGAGAGAAATGTTACCATTCTTACCAAAGATGCTTCTGTCAACACTGGGGAGAAACTTTTCTTTCCAAATGTTGACTTTGTAGCTGTTGCCTCAGGGGACTGATTGACACACATACTGTGAATATTCTTATTTTGGGGACAGAAATTACTGGGAGTGATTCCTCTCTCAGAATTTAACATCTCCCTGTTTTCTGGTGATGACTCCCGAAGACCAAGAGATCTTTCACTGGAAGTGTGCTCTGGAGTAACATTTCCTTCTGAGAGTCCTTCAGCACCTAGAAAACAATTCCTTCACTGTCAGCATGAGGAATGGAAGTTAAAAAAGGCAAGCCAAAGGCCCAAACTGCTCACTGTTCCAGCTCTAGGTGTCTCCAAGTCTCAGATGTGTGCAATTGCACTTCAAGTGCAGGACTTGCCGCACTCTTGGCACTCTCCCACTGTTTTAGCAGTTACCAGATTCATTCCAACACTTACACATTGCTTTTCCAGGTTATGCTGGTGACAAATAACTGCACCAATCTATAAAAGTGTCAGTGGCACATTAACACACGTCTTTAAGTTATGTGGAACACCCTGAGTTGGGGGATCTCTCCTATGTTAAAAGCATGAAATAAATGTAAAATTGTACTGCTGTGCTAATCCTCAATTAACCTCCAACTTTCGACTCTGTATTGCTGGAAATTCCAAGCCCAAATACCTACATCTCATTGTCTCCAGAGATGCAGGACTCTCAGCTGAAGGCTCCTCCATTTCCTTCTGTTCTGCAGGATTCTTGGATTTCTCAGGTGGTTTCTGCACACAGTTCTCTCCTCTCTTTGGCTCCACAGATAAAACCTGGGGTGCTTTTTGCTGCTTATAATCCTTGATTGCCCCATTCATAGGTTTCTATTCCAATACAAATGTTATAGAAACATTTTTGCAAACATGGGGAAGTGCACACAAAAGGAGACAAAGAGTATGTTATCTCTAAGATCAAACAGAAGGAAAATTATTAGCAGGACTTAAATCCATAAGGATATCAGGTGTTCTAATATCAAAAAACATTGAATTTGTTCAACTGGACACATAAATTTCTATTAATTTCAACTTGCACTTAAAATTCAGGAGTACCAAGCACACAAACAGAGTAGAGTTAATTTTGAAAAATATGGCAGCAGTGGATTTTTAATAATGCAGTGCAACTGTATACCTGCAGTTTTGATTTCTCCTGCTTGGAGGTGCATGGTGGAATTTGCTCTTCACACTCTGACTCAGAACTGGAAGGTTCTTTGTAATTTTTTGCTGCTGCTGCTCTTCGAGGTAGTTTCTTTCTGGAGGTTTGTTCTGTCATTTCAGCAGTTCTTGAGTTCTGTTTTTTACATTTGTTTACCTTTGGAAGAATAAAACCACCTTCAGTTTATAAGCATGATCAATAAATCAATATACAAGAAAAAAAGGTAGATACTGGATTTCAAGTAATTAAACCAAGTTATTTCAAAACAGCTAAAAAAGTTTAACTTTACCAAAGCTCAGAGAGTTTAACCATCAGTCTATTAACAAAAGCATCAATGTATAATAATCATTCTAACTCACAGTATTATGCCTGAAATACCAACTAAATACTACATGAAAAGAAAATAGTACCTGAAAAGAATACACAGTATTTAACAAATTATTTGGAAATAAGCATGAAGAAATGTCACATATTTATGAAAAGTTACTTTAAAACAGTTTCTGTGGGTGGTGAAGAGATTTTGAATATCCATTACAATTCTAGGTGCAAACTTACATCTACCTTTTTCTTCTTTGCATTTTTGCCTTTAGGTTTTTCCATGTGGAAAGCAGGTTCAGGGGATTCATCTGGTGTTACAACATAGCCTGAAAAATCAATATAATGTTCAAATGTTTGCCATTTGGTTTAGCTGTAAATAACAGAAGCACTTTCATGCCCAAAAGCTTACTGACTCAGTAACTGCTTTCAGCCCATTATTTTAAGAAGTCTTTTTTTTTTTAGTTGACAACAACTTCCACCTGTCCCATCCTCCAACCCTTTTCCACATTAAAATACAGACTTTATGTAAATCAACCTTTATAAATGATTAGAACTGATTTGAAAATTCCTTGGAAACAAGACAACAGAAACATCTGATATCTGCAACAGAGCACACGACACGCTGTGCAGTCAGTACCTAAGGACAAACTTCTTGCAGCACTCTTCAGAAATATGAAAAAAGTTTCTTACTTTTGTCTGTGCTTATTGGTTTCCCTAATTTTTTATTTCTACTGTAATTGACTATCTGGGGTTTAGGTTTCCTCTTGGATTCCTGTAGCCAACTAATCTCTGTCTTGCTGTCATCCCCTCTGTTCTCTGTGTCTGAGTCACTAAAGAGGTGCTTCTTGTCTTGATTGTTTCTAGCCTACAAAACCCGAAAAAGTTCTCAAGTTATTGATTTATTTTTATGTACATTCTGCTTCCATAACTGGTATTTAAAGGCAGGCAGACAAGCTATACTGAGCCACAAAAATCTGAACCTTACTTTTTTTGTTCCTTTCACTTCAGCGCTGGATTTACTGACGACTGCATTCCTTAAGTAGAAAAATAAAAACCACTTTAACGATACATTTAAAAATATTTGCTGTAAAACTTTCTGCTGTTCAGGTGATATGTGGATTAAAGATTCAAACAAATGCACTTACTTTTGTTTTCACATTATTTTGGAAATACCTGTTCACCTCAAACCCTAAAGAATGGGCTTATTTCCCAAGGATCAGTGAGAGCACAAAGTAACAGAGCCCTGGGCAGGCTGAACATGAACAAAAAACCACCCCCTCTAGTCAGGAGTTTCTATCCCTGTAGTATTCCCTGAGGAGAACTGTTCTCCCCATGGAACACATTCCCTGGAATTCTGTAACAGGATGCTGGAGAGTGCAGACAGTACTATTGATAATCAGCAGACCAGGATGCAACAGAACATCCTACCCTTTTTTGGTTGTCTCTGTATGAACACTCAGTTCAGTAACATGCAATTCTTGGACCTAAAAATAGAAATAAATAAGGAACAAACCAAGGTTTTCATTTGTTATACAATCTGAACAAAAATTCAACAGCTAAAGGCTCCTTTTCCTCAGTTATTGCACTCAGTAATTAATGGTCATTAATTTCCATCTTAGAATTCATTTAACAGAGCTGATAGTTAAAACCAGCTGGAACTGAGTGAAGCTTTCAGTGTCTCAAACCAATCCCCCCACTTACTTCACCACCTTCCCCAATTCAGAAGGCTCCTCTGAGCTTAAGAAACAAAACTATCTTTTGTTGTCTTCTGTTTTTAACATCATTAGATTCTCTTTTTACTCAAACATCTGGACAAAGATGTTTTTTAAATGGGGATTGTAAGGATGGCAATAACATTTTTGGGATAACAGAATACAGAATATTTTAAAATAATGATACCCCCATGCAAACTGTTTAATTCTTAATTCAGGAAAAACTTCATAACAGCTGGAAGTGGCCAGAACCTTAGGACAGTTATACATTTACACATTATATATTTGAGAGTGCTGCAGGTATTTACATGGCAAACTTCTTTCCCCACTTAGTTCACTGATACAATTTGAATGTTCAGATCTTAACTATCCTTTCAGCAAAGAAAATTTGACTGATTTCCTTTATAATCTAATCATAAAATACAGGATTCAGTTATGTTCTTACTCCAAGCTTTATTGTAGGCTCATCAAACCCACTGAGTTTAAAGTTGTAGACATCATCCCTGCAAACAGACACAGAGAGCAATTTTGTGGCTGAATTAATGAACATTTCACAGAGTCAGGTATGGGCAGCCAGAAATTGTGCTTGAAAATGTTGTAGCTACTTACATGATATGACCAGCAGTTATATTAAGAAAAGAAGTGGTTGTCAGGATTCTGTCCTGAACTTCTTCCTATACAGAAATGAAAAGTTGGCTCACATGGCAAATTTGGACTATGCATTCAGAAACCCTGTCATCTCAAAAAGCAAGTTCATCATGAAGATAATCATGTTGATTAGCAACAAAGGGGAGGACCTACATCTTTATCTTTTAAGGATATCAACAAAACCTCAGAATTTTTTTGCCCCCCCAACATTATGACTCATTTCTGTGTCCTGGCTCTGTCTACTTTAAGGATTCCATAATTTTATTTCTGATATTATTTTTATTCTAAATATTTAGCATTGACATGTACAAAAGGCAGAGATTAAATATATAATATGCCAACAGAAATTAATTTGGGTTTCACTAGATGACAGTTGCCAGTAAAAACTACTGTTCCACCTGGGTATTTTAAATTTATGCAGCCAATACAAAATTAACATCTACAGATACTTAACATTCACTGGTGCTTGTGAAATGTCCCTTTACACCTACTGATTCCCACCATATTTGTACACACAGCTGCTATGAAAAGCAATTCTAACAAAAGCAATAATGTTACCTTGGAGTTCCAGGATTTATTTAAATATGTCCTAAAAATAAGCACACATATTGTTAAATGCTAATTGGAATACATGCACCACAACACTGCCCAGGTAAGTAAAAGCCTTATCAAACCCAGCAAACCTATTTGTGTGTTTAAATACATCAATTAAAAGATTCAAAGGATTAAAAGAGCTCAGCCCCTTTCACTCATGTCACCCATCACCCATCACAGACAGAGCCCCAAGGAATCAGCCCAGCAGGGGACAGTTCCCATCCTACCTGTTCAAACCCAAGGAGTCTCTTGCTTTGCTCTTCTCATCACTCTTGTCTTTGTACCTGTCACTGATTTTACTGATCAGTGATTTGGCTGCGTCTGAGATTTCTTTAGACTTTAGTTTCTATAAAAACAATTGAAGACTTAACTTTGAACCCATCCAACAGAAGAACAAAGCTGCAAACAGAACTTCAGGTTCCTAAAAAAACCCCTAAACTGCATTAAATGTCTTCTAGATGTAGTAAATCACATTTCCTTGCAAACCATTTCCCCTTGCATTGCCCAGAGAGTGAGAAAGGAAACATGAGCTTAGCTTTTAAATAATGTGGGTTTGGGAGTGTAACATTCAAAAGTGAGCAAGGAAGTGCATGAGAAGCATAAGTTGGTGGTTATTTAAGAATAATTTTGACAAAGAAATTCAGAGTAAACTAATCTTAAACACGTCACTGAAAACAGCAAAAAGTGAAGGTGATATTATTTCTTCATTTGGTATTTGTGCAAAATCAATTAAAAGTAAGTTTATGACTAAATGACAGTAAACCCACAAATTCTGGAACACTGAAGATTTGCCAATTCTCTTAATTGCAAGTCAAAGAAAGGAAGGTAAGAAATTCTCACAGGCTTTGATGGTTTTGAATTTGCAGGCTCTTTTCTGAGGAGAATTTCAGGTTCCTCTTTTGCAAGCTCAGAATGCAAAGATATGTCGGCCACTCTGGCTGAAAGAAAGGTTTTAAACCATGTTTCAGCAGTAGTTTCAACATTTTTCCCTTCTGTCCTTAACAGTTTCTGTTCCAAATGACTAACACTCTGACTGCCCACTTGGTATGGTCTCTATTTCATTTTCTCCCTTTTCTTATCTTTATTTAATTTGTTTATCTGGAGAGGTACTTCAAAGAGTGAATAAATGCTTTTTGTTTCACAGCTCTTTCCCTAAGAATAGAAAGGAAAACAGGACAGAAAAGCACAGCTGCAAGGGGACAGTTTATCTGATCTATTTGGAAGAGTAACAGTTAACCATGTGTGAACCTGGATGGGATGGAAGTGCCACTGATGGATTTGGCTTTTGTTTGTCCCCAGTTGTCCCACTCTTCTCAGGAAGAAGGGATGTTCTTTTTTTCCATGTTTCAGTTCTATCCAAAGAACTCTCCATAAGTCCAGGTAGCCTAAAGACAACACCACCTTACTGTCAGTGAATTGCAGAAAGTGACTTTTAACTCTAATAAACATGGGGCATAAAATAGGAAAATAATGGAATCTTAAGCATATCAAAGTATTTTACATTGGCAGTATTTTATGTTGACAACATAATTTCAGTTCTGGTAATACTTGAAAATACTCCCTTCAAAGTGAGTGGCAACAGTGAATTCTTTTCTAATACTTACAAAGGTTTGTTGCTTTTCCCAACTGGCTGAGAATCAGGAACGATATCAAACACTTCCTCTGTATGAGACATTAACTTGGTCTCAATTATTATGGCAAAAGGAATGAACAAAATTAAAATGATATTAAAAGTAAGGATTAGCAATGCTTGTAAAGTTACTTGCCTAAAGTTTGCTCTTCTGTGGCCTCTTGTATAAATTTTAAAACTTCTTCAGCACATTTTTGCTACAGTGGAATAACACCCAAGAGGAAATATTAGCATAGGACCATAAGCATTATAACCTCATAAACCTGTAGTTTACCTAAGAAAACATGAAATTCCTTTTTGCTTTAGTTCATGGAAGTGCTGCTCCAGTACCTTTTCATGTGCTTTTGCCTCATTTCTGGTGTTTAACCTCCTGATCTGTTCTGTTTCAAAGAATTCATCATCCAGTGTCAATCTTTGCCATCTCTAAAAAGCACAGTAACACTGACAATTACAGTCCATAACAGACAAAGAAGTAAAATTCTCCTAGAAATGGACACTTGAAATATTCTAAACAAAACATTCTATAACTTAAAGCCTTCCTCTAAAGCATGGCTGTATCCAAAAATGCTTCAGAATGCCATAGTCTGGGGTTTGACCTGAATCTGACCAAGACAGACATTTAGAACCAGAAATAAAATTGAAGTGTTACTTTGTAGTCATTGTTCAACTGGAACAGAACCAAAAATAAAAACATACTTACACTGCAGTTCAGTGACACCTCTATAGTTTTCTGTGATAGCAGTGAATGCCTGATCAAAAATGCACTAAAACCAATGCTATAAATGCCAAAACCTGAGGCCATTCACATTTCACAGCTGCAGCTGAATGTATTCTATGTTTTATGAGTATTTCAATCCTGCAGAATCCATGTGAGATTCTGTGCATGCACCTTTCTCCTATTACACACAAAGGAAGAACTGAGGGTCTAGTAAAAGCAAGTTAATTCTGGAGTTCAAACTGATGACTGAATGCAAGTTTTGGCTAATTAAGAGTTCATTCTGACTTTGGACATATTAAACCTGAAACCCAGAGGACAAGAAAACATTATGCAGTAAAGTGAAACACAGTATTTTCTACAGGACAGTTGCTGATTCTAGCTTTTTAAAATATGAATGAGGAACAAATCAGAATAGAAATTAATGTTATTGTAAGTAAAAGACTTAGCTACAAATGACATGCATACTCCAGCAGAGTCCTGATAGGAAATCTTTGTTCTAGTCTCATTTGTTGCACTGCTGTCAGACCTCTTAGTGGAGCTCGTCATTTCCAGAGGCAATTTATATCTCCCTTTAAAAGGAGTGGCTGGAACAAAGCAGAGACATGTTGGAATTCCACCACTGCTTTCATTACAATGTCTGGGACATCAGTAGGAAGAGTTTTTGCCCATGATCACAACAAAAGTTAGTTAGTATTGATAACAACCCATTATGGCCCTTTAACATTTCTCTTAATCTCCACATAACAGAGTTGAAATCAAGAGCCCACAGACTGTGGGTGTCCAGAGGCAAAAGCAAAGCTTTTACAGGCTGGCTCTAGTAGAAAATAGTTGGTCACTCTTTAAAGATTTCCCAGTCAGATATTTTTGCTCAACAGCTGCCTGAGAGCTGCAGGACAAATGGCAGGTGACCCCCAGTTAGAGGGAAGCCCTGTGCAGCCACCATCCCATAGCACGTCTCTGGACCAGGACCAAGTGGTCTCGTTCAAAAATTTCGAGTTTAAAAATTGCAAGTTTAAAGCATCTGCTCAGGAGATTTTACAAAGTCTCCTTTTCATTTCCAGCTCTGTCAGGGAGCACAGTCCATGCTTGTGTTTCAAAGACAACTTACAGTATATTTTTACCCTGGAGGCACTTGCAAACTCACATGTGCTAACAAAGGTCAGTGGACTCCTTGTGGAAGTTCTTGTAGTTCCAGGAACAATCACAGAGGCTTCAGACATTTTCCTTGTCCGAGAGGGAGTGATCTGGAGGAACAGAAAGAACTCGACCATGAGACACTGATCTAAGCAGCACAAGAATTTAGAAAAGCTTTTTCCAAGAGCCTCTTGACACTTTCCATTCCTGGAATGGCAGTTGCTGTTGCTGCAGATATCAATGTCATGGGATTTTTAGGCAGTGCCCTTTTTGAGGAAAGTTCCCCGAACCACCTGAATGGTATAATCCTTAAACTGAACATTTTCAAACTGAGGCCACTGATTGTTGTTCTCTAAATTCATTCAATGAATTATGGGCAAATCCTGTCCCTTGTTCACAAAGAGGTCTCCTGGAGACTCTGCAAAGGTGTCACTAAAGCTACAAACCAAAGAGGAACAGGTTTGCTAAAGCCCTGCTGCCAAGGCACACCCTGTTACACCAGGAAGACACTGGTCCATTATTCCCCCTTTCCCAGTATTTTCCAGAGGCCATCCTTGACTTCTGCAAACCAGGAGATCTGAGCACATCTTGAAAACATTTCTCTTTAGAGCACAATGGCCTAAAGAACATTAACAATTCCTTTTTACTTTTGTCACGTTTATTAAGAGTTCCAAAGTAGCAATGAGAAAGTTTTTTGCAAAAGGATTTTTACAGCTATGTCAAGTCCCAATCAACCCCTAAATTAACTACATTTCAAATGTCAAATAAGAAGAGGTTTATGTTATTAAATGTTATAAATATTTAAATTGACTTGTATTTCTTCTCTACTCTTTTTGTTTTCACAATCCTACTCACCTTGGAGGAATCCCCTCTGCATTTTTCTTGACTGTTATTTTTATTCTGAGTCCTCAAACTTTCAGGAAGTTGCTGAGTTTTCTTCTTACTGACTTTCTCCTCCTGTTCAGATTTTTCTTTCAAACCTGGTGACAACTGGCTTTCTGGTACCATAACCTATATAATATTTTCATTTTATTTAATTGCATACAATATTTGGGTTTTATGTTTTATATTTACACAAACACACAGAGTAACTTCTTTACCTTAAATAACACACTCCTCATTTTGATAAACTTCAGAGGTTACAGACTTTTAGTCTGAAAAGCCTCCACCCTAATTGCTATTTTCTCTAACAAGGATGGGTTATTGAGTCACAATTCACATAAAAGAATATATTTGTCTGATTTATTCTTTGATTGGGATAATAATATCCCCCCAAAAATACAATATATACACACTAGCCATCACTTGCTGGCTTTAGACTTATCTATACTTCGAGATATTTTCAAAGTCCTTGTTTCTACCATGAGAGATTCTAAATTAGCAAATAATCAGCCTAAATATACAAACCCACGAAATAAAATACCTGTGATCCACTTTCATCAAAGAGGACATGTACAGCTGTTTTGGCAACTGATGCAGTTTGCTTCTTACTCCCCTCCTACAAAGGGAGGAACCACCCAGGTCAAAACAGACACTTCGCTCTTTGGTTAAACAGGGAACAGAAAATATTCAAGTGAAAGATCATAAGTGTCTGAAATCAGATTACAGAGGCAAAGGGATGCTACAAAGCAGTTCCATTCCTCAGGAATTCCTCAGTCAGACCTCAGGACAAAGTAGTTGTTAGAAGGAGGAAGGTGTGGCTTGCTAACACTTTTTTAAGTGCATTAAGCAAATTTATTTTGAATTAATTAAAAACTATTTGAAAAGGTGTTTCAATCTTACCTTACATTTACTAAATCCATAAATCTTTCTGGTTACGTCTTTGATTTCCAAGATGGAATTAAAATACAAAGAAAATTTCTCTCCTTCCAGATTACCCACATTCATTGGGCTTTTGAGATCTATTGTCAATAATTTCTTTGAGTCTTTTTCTGGACAAAAACAGAATTTGAAAAGTTCCTTTATTACAATTTAACAACATCTCATATAATGTTTGTAAACACATGACACTTATTCTTCAGTACAGCTACTAAGATGTATATTTTAATTCACTCTACAATAAATTTTATTAGTGAAACAATTCAAGATTCTATCTTTCAGGAATAATTATTCTTTATACTATTCCATAGAATTTTCTTTGAGGGTTATTTACTATAGCTGCAGACAAATTACAGGTATTTACTATTCTAATTAGTTTAGAAGGAATATTAGTTCCTGTCATTGTCTTTTGCCTTATTTTGTATTGAAATAACTAGAAGACATTATTTTTAAATTATTTTCATAAAGTCACACCTGCATATCCAAAATGCAAATGTGACTGCAATGCAATTTTATCCCAGATAAAACCAGTTCCTATATTATTTTAAGTGAGACTTTTGCTTTGTTGAGAATTGAGCCAGTAATTCAGGATTAATTGCTTTGAAAATCCAAGTTAGCATGTACCAAAAGGTCCCATTTTTGAGTGCAAATACCTTCAAGGCTGTACATGTTCACCTCTTCTTCTGGTATGATCACTGTTTCCCACTGCTGACCCTTATATGAAAAACACATTTTTAAAGATAGAAAATTCTGATATTACAACTAAACGAAATGCAGTGATCAGAAAGTCATTCAGTGAGGACAAATTTTCAGCTTTTTAAATCTCTCTTAGGAAGAGTGACACAGAACAAATGCTTCACCATTGCATATGTTAAACTATTTCCAAACATTACTTTGCAATTCTTTGATCTAAATATGTACAGCAAATCTGGATTTTTTCCCCCCTCCACACTGGAATAAGTTCAACGTGTTGATGTGGGGAAACAAATCTGATACACTTGAAAGAATCTGGATCTACTGCCTCAGTCTGAGAGACAAAAATCACTTACTGCATCATCTGCTGCCACATAGAAAGAGATACTTTTGCTACCAACATTGAAATCAATCCAGAATTCCTCCAGATTTTCATCCAGTGGGAACTGGAGCTAAAAGAAAAAGATAAAATAATAAGAGCAGAGAGCACTGATTTACACCAGCTTACAAGCTTTGTGTTGGTCTCACAAGCTTTCAGTACAGGCCTACCTGAATCCTTCTGAAAAAAAATAATTTTCTTACCTTATCTCTGTTTTTTATTAACTAGAAGGCAGAGAAACTTACCTCATATTTATCAAGAGCTGCTGCTAAACATGGATATGTAAAAACCCTGTAAGGAAAGGATATTTTTTTCAAGTATTCTACAATGCTGTAAAGAAACTTTGCATATGTGAACATAGCAACTGGGTTGTGTTTTCACAAACTTGTGTGATTTAGAGACTAAGAGATCCCAGCAATCAAAAATCACTTTTTCCCCAAGGAGGTAGCAGGAAATTTAATCACAACATCAAATGCAAAGAAAGAAACTTTATTAGCTCTAAAAAAAAAAAATCAGTTTTACCTTCTTTTGTCTCCAAGCATGCCATTCACCTGGTTAAGAAACTTCCTGCAATCCTATAAAACACAGAAATTTCTTAAAGAATTGTAAAATGGATGTTTTATCCCCCCAGGAATATTTTTCATATGACTTACTGTTTCAAACTCAGAATCTTTAATTCCTTTAAATGCACTGGACACAAACTCCATGGGAAACCACTGGGAGGCCAGTTCTGCTCTTTGCTTCTCTGAGATCATTCTGCACAAAGCTTCTGTGATGGCCACTTGCATGTCATAGTCTGCAGGAAAAGGAGATTTAAAGACACTACTGAGGTGAAAAAATATTATGAGGAAAGCAGTATAAGCAGCACTGAGCATTTCATATTCTAAATCATATTATATCCAAATATGTAACCCCCAAAGGATAAGTGGATAAAGAAGTACAGGAATAATGATGACCAAACAACTTATTTTTCCAAAGGAAATTTCAACCAAACCTTGCAGGACTGTCAGAGCCCCCACACGGGGTGTACAAGACGTTTGCAGCTTTCCCCTGTCTGACCTGGGAAATTGTTGGCTACCAAAAGGATCCTTAGAGAAGTTCCAGTACTCAAAGCTTGGCTTCCTCATCATCTTTTGCTATTTTAAAACTTAGGCTCTAGAGAAGAACTGAAACCTTCAGTGAGTGACCCACGCCCTGAACACACTGAAACATTCCAGCCTGCAGATTGTTTTCAGGCAGTATTTGTACTTTTCAGATGGTTCAATCACCACATTCTGCAGCTTCTGAATGTCTTCTCTGGTTTTTTAATGGCTCTGTATCTGATTTTTAGGAACCCTAATACTAAATTAAGTCCCATGCTCACCTCCAGCATCCAAAATTCTCCTCCCCATTTCGCTCCTGCCAAACAAAGTGAACGTTTCATCAGAACATGAGAGCAACACAGAGCACAGAAAGCTTTAATTACAAATTTTCAATGTATGAGATAAAACTCTGATTTCATCAGCCTGTAAGACTTAAAAAGGGGTAAGTCTGCTGTGCTAAGGATGTGGAAGGACCACTGGGGAAAATCATCTTACATGTACAATTTTTATTCTATTTCTTTTCCCAGTGTGAACCAGCCTGTCTTTCCAGTCACTGATTCACTGTGCTTTACACACATTCTTATAAGAAAGAGTTTAATTGTTTTAGGAACACTGGGATGAGAAAAAGCCTGACCCAGACTGGAAAAGAGGAAAATTCATGGAGAATAACCCATGAGAATACCTGCCCAGAGCCACTATCTTGGACAACTCCATAGCAAATGCAACTTAAATTAAACAGGGACCAATGTGCACAAACTATAAACAGGCTTAGTAAAAACTGCCCTCCCAGCTCTGCAAATGATGTAATGATATAAAAATTATACTGAAGATTATTTACATGACCAGTAACATCTCCTTTGTAGAAAATAACTTTTTCTTGGCCTCTCGGGGTATGTTGTCAAGCATTAAATTCAGTTTTCTTACTACCTAAGAACAGTGGAAAAAAAGGAGTAAGAGGAAATATAAAGTAAGTTTGTCATTCTTATTTTGGGCCATTGTAATATATTTGAGAACACTGAAGAAAGCAAAATGCAAAATGCTTAAATAACCATGAGTTCTATCTGACATTAAAGGGTATTTATCTGAATGTAACTCCCTCAATTTCAGTAAATCACATTAGTTTTAATGTGAACATCAGTTCTTAAAGGGTTATGTTTCTTATTTGCAGGTTTAAATACAGAAAAAAAATCTTTCTAAGCTGGAGTTCTGTCTGCAGTTGATTGCTGAGCTAAAATGTCCCTTAAATTAGCATTAAAAAGCCTTTCCTTTGGGGATGCAGCCTTGACAGAAGACTTTTTTGTGACTTTCCCTTTATCTTTAGACAGAAAAAACCCCCTGATTCTGTTTTTGTAGCATCTGTACAGTTAAATAACTGTCTTCACAAAGTCTGTTAACACAGTGACCAGAAAACTGTTGCTTAGAAAGAAGAATGTTTACCTCCTGCTGAACATAAATACTAATTCTTACATCAGTGATGAGGGAACATGTTCTCAGAACAAAGTTTTCCAGTATTTGCATTTTACCTAACAAACAGGAAAAGAATAAATTAGAGAGTTGAAAAGAATAAATTAGAAAGTTGCCCCTTCATACACATTTGGGACAAGATTCATTTTCATTTGGAAATAAAATACTGTATGTCTTTCTTTCCATACAGGATTACTGATATTTGAGGATAAGTATCTTAAGCATCATGGTTGAATGTAAGATAGAATATTCAATTTATAGTAAATATGGCTCTTTGTGAGGTTTCTGCTGGGCAGCACTGTACAACCCCCCTGAGCATGAGAACATGAATTTTAAAATATACTTGGTCAATCCTCCAACTCAGCTCTCTGAGATACAATTCAGGTGCTGCAATTTGTCTTCCCAGAGACAAGGAAATAAATCTTTCACTTTGATCCCGACCCCATAAGGGTCTGGAGTGGCTTTCCACGCTGGAAGGGTGTGATATTCCTGATGCCAAGGTCAGCACAGAAGGATCACTGTGCTGTGCTGAGCTGTGACAGCAGCTTAGAAACAGCTTTTTTTTAGGAAAAACTCGGTGCAGTTGCCATCTCTGAGAGCATCCTGCTTTTTTATTACTGACATCAGCAAGTTACAAGGAAATCTGGCAGCAGAGAAACCTCAAAGTGAACAATCCAGGTTAGGGCTGACATTTCCCCTGTGAAATCTGGTCCTCTGGGCACAGTTTATCAGCTGAAACATTTACATCTGGTGGTACATTTGGATTAGATCAAGAAACTGGTACCACCCTCGTTGCACAGGTTCTCCTCACAAACACTTGCCTAAAGCTCCTCCATGAGTACAAATGGTTTTAACACTGATTAAGTGTCCTGAAAGAGACATTTTAAACCCTCATATGTAGTTTTTTAAGCTCACCTTCAGGTCTGCTCTCACACACAGCCTGCAGTGAGAAACAAAACAAGACATCATTTTGATACAGCAAATATTACAGCAGAAAAATCAGGCAAAATGTACCTGAAGGAAGTAATCAAAAACAATTCAGGGCTTTGAAATTATTTCATCCTTAACAAAGAATACAAGAAATGATTTCTGCTACCAAGTGTGGATTTCTGAAATTGTATTTCAGTTAAATTTACTGAAATTGTTTCACCAAGGACAAAAATTTTTGTGAAAAGTAGCAAACTCACAGATCTTATAAACTTGGAGCCCTGGATAAGCAAACCAATAACTTATGGAATCAAAATTTCATCAAGATGAAATTTTTTTGTTCATTGAACACTTAATGTTGTGCATTTTTTAAACTTCATTTCATGATGCCAGCCATGAACAGAAAACAAGTATAAATACAGCAAACTGTTTATCCCCAAAGGCTTATAATCTATTTCAAAAATCACTATAACATGAACTTTAGAGAGATATTAAATAGAAACCCATTTGAAAGTTGTTTTTTGCTAAACTAGTAACAATTATCATGACAAATTTTATTATCAATATATTTTTACCAGTAACACATTGAAGAAATCTTCAGCCAGACTTGTAAGCATTTCATTCCTTTCACTTCCTCTGAGGATCAAAATTCCTTTTAACTTTTCAAACCAATTGACCATGTAAAGGAAAAATAAAAGTGAAACTATTTTAATAACCTGGAAAAAGACAATAGTTTGTGTTATACTTCAGGAAAACTATACAAAGATTAAAACAACAACAGCATTACCAGTCTGCTGAGCATATGTCAGCCTCAGACTGAAATTCTTCACTCAGACTAAAGCAAAATGTGGAGATTTCAAGGACTTTGCAACACAAAAACTGGAGATCTACTTTGACATCTGCCATCACAGACAGAAGAGATGAAAATGCAAATGGCTGAGTGTTGTTTGTAGGTGTGAATATCAGCACAAAGTTATCACCACCCTGCTTTATTATTATTAAAGCAGCTGAGAAGGCAATCGAGCAGCACTGGCACTGCCATTAATGCTCTTCAGGGAAATCTCTCATGAAAGCAGAAGAAAGTGGGTGGTATCTGTTGTTCTGTATAGTTACTGAGTTGCAAATGATTAATGCATCCAACCTGCAGGTTGGAATAACACAAAATAATCACAATAGCACTAAAATCTGTTGAAAGAGCAGGTCTGAAATCGCTGCTGTGAGAACTCACAAGAAAAGAATCTTCAGATGGCACCAGGAAATTCTAAATTCCAACTCCAAAGCAGTCCAGCAAACTCATATAAAAATATGTAATGCTGTTGTAATTGCTGTAAGCATATCTAAATTAATTCTATATTGCATAACTGGCAAAACCCTCACTGTGATAGAGCAGCATCTTTATAAGGGGTCACTTGACAAAGCACATTCAAATGTTTGTTGCAAAGTTATGGGAAATTCTTAATTCTTAAGCAAACCAAGGACCAAATCAAACACTGAGCAGTTCAGCACTGGAGCATCACTTATGCACTTGGTTCATTTTTATGTATTTCTTGAGAAGTTCATATATGTTTTATGGGTTTACTTATCCTTCCAACAAGCCCGTATTTCATCAGTGCTGGGAGCCCATCCTCTCCTGCTATGCTGATTTTTTCCCCACATTTCTGGATAACATTTAGTAAAGTAGAAACGCTTTTCACTTCTTGTTTGTCAAGTTCCTGAAATCGAAATTACAACAGAAGCTTTAATGTACAGTTCCAGAAGAACTAGATAATTAAGCAGATGCCTTTTTTGTTCTCAAAAGCCACCTCAATTGCAGCTTGAAGGAAAGATTTCATTCTTAAACTTTATTTCAGGCTTTCAAATCAACTGCTGGTATAAACCAAGGCAAACTAAATATTTCAGACTGTTGCAATGCCAGTGCAGATGACTGGGATGCAATGGTTACCTTACCCAACACAGAAGCTTGTCTAATTTGTTCACAAACTGTTTGCTGCTTTTGTAAGAGACATTTTCAGAGTCTTCTGTGGCCAGAAATTTCTCCAGTAACTGGGAATCTTTTTTTCTTGTAGCTTCATCAATTAACTTTTCCAACTGCCAACAATAAAACAAAGCAGCTGTATTACTGTGTGCTGAGCACTGATACAGATTTAACAGGGTTTCATGCAGGTTTTCTGCATTCAAAGCAAATATCCTGAATCACAAAATAATTAAAGGTGAAACCTAAAGAACAGAACATCATATCTAATATATTAATCATGCAAATACTTGTACACTGGGATTTTAATTATTTCCCAGTTGGCTTTTTTTATTTCTCAACTGGTTTTTCTTTCCTCCTATTAGAACTAAATTCCTACATAAGTGTTCATTGTCTTAATGGCCCTTCCTCAGTACATTTAACGTTTTACTTTACCAAGTAACTTCAACTATTTTGCCCCCTAAATCAATTATACCCACGTGTCAGCATTTTTGATCTTAAGTATCACCTCACTGATTCATCTATGTCAAAAGCATATGATTTATTTTTATCAATAACAGTCTCCAGTTCCTCTTGCTTTCCACCCACCTATTTCACACCAATCTATGGCAAAGGAAATTTCTTCCCACCCCACTGCACTGCCACGCTGCAGATTTGACTTGCAATTGAGTACCTGAAGGAGTGCTTTAAGCCAGTAATTAAAACAATCAATACTGATGTTCTGGTCCATCAGCACATACCTGCATCTCACTCCTGGCTGTCATTTTTGCAGTTCACCAGCTCAGCTGTGTAACAACGAAAACAATCAGCACTCAGGCTTCAAACAGGTTTCACAAACACATCAGTAATTCATTACAAAATACATAACAAATCCCAAAGTTTGTCACTAGGGTAAATGCTATATAAATGCTATTTAAGAATTTAAACTAACTGGGGATATAAGGAAGCTTCAGAAACATTAGAACTCCGTAAGGGCCTTGCTATAAAATGCCAGATTAAATAATTTAACAAAAATATGGTAAATGACACAGCAAAAAAGCCTTCTGAATTATACACACAGTGATGGGCTCCAAGGTGACTGTCACCAACAAAAGGTCTCAGTAAGTTGTATGAAAACAAGTGTCTAAGTATTCAACAGCAGGCAAAGTATTTTCTGTAACATGTAAAAAAACCAACCAACTTGTTCATGCTTTGTACGAATTAATCTACACCAACCAATCCGTGGACAGTCAACAATGGGCAGTTTTAGTCTCCCCATCCCAGAAATTGTACAGACAAAGCAAAGGGAAACAGTGACTAAAGACAGGGAATGACTTCTGTAGAGCAGCAGCTGCACAGGCTAACCTTTTATGTACTGCTAAGCAACACAGAAACAACACATACAGGGAGATTTTAAATTACTTTTTCCAACAAAAGATAAAACACGAGCCTCCGCTGAGGCCTGTGCTGGCACCTCACAGCTCTCGAGTCTTCGGGCGGGTCAGACAAGGTAAAGGATGAAACAGAACCCTCTTCTCCACAGAGAAGACCTCGACCCCCCAAACACGCCTATCCGCTGGAATGTCCCTCAGGAGGCTGGAATGTCCCTCAGGAGGCTGGAATATCCCTCAGGAGGCTGGAATGTCCCTGAGGAGGCTGGAATGTCCCTGAGGAGTTCCGGCACTGTCAGCGCACAGCCCCAACCCCTCACCCTGGGCCCCGCTCCCCTCACCCCGGGTCCCCCCTCACAGCCCGCGCGCCACGAGTGCCCCTCCCGCCGGCCAATCGCTGCCGGCACCGCCGGCCGCCAGCCAATCAGCGCCCGGCAGCGCGGAGTGCGGACCAATGGCGCGGGGCGGGGGGCGGGCTCTGCGCGCCCTCAGCGCGGGTGACGGGAGCGCCCTCAGAGCCCCGACCGCTCCCTCTGCGTTACAAATTGGCTTTTAGAGCACTGATTTCAGCGCTCAGACGGGAGTTAGTGGGCATCAGTTTGCTAAAACAGTATAAGTCATTCATGTGCTTAATTCAAAGCGTTTTCGCTGCCATAAAGTGCCCGAGTAGATACAAACACACCCTCAGGTGCGCGTTTACCTGCTGTGGGTAAAGGGCGTCGACTGACGCTTGTGGTCTTTATTATCCAGAAGGAACTGGATAATATGCTTTAATGGAATCCAGCAGTGCACTGCATAATGTGCTTAAATGGAATCCAACAGTGCCAAGGTGGGGCTTTACCTGTACTGGTGTGATACTGGTGTATCTATTGCTGGTGTATTTATATATCGCCCAAACGTGGCTGATAATATTTATCACGAATCTCACATACACCAGTGGAGTAGCAAGAATCGTCTCCACTCATACCTAGAATAAGCAGTAGTGGAGCATCCAGGAGAAAAAACAGTTTTCACAGCAGGAAAACCTGCAGCAACTGTAAATAAAATAGCACCGCTGACTTCCTAAAATAAGGAAAATAAAATCTCAATACTATAAAAGGTAAAAAAAAAGCTGTACACGAGGTATTTAAAATACCACCAGATGTCACTGTAATTCAAGAAAATGACAAGTGGTGTGAGATTTGGAGTATCTGCGCTGAGGAGTTGGGAGTGAGCAGCGCTGGGCATTTTGCAGGAGGAAAGTCCTGCTAAAGCAATTCACTGCAGCATTAACTGCCCTCATATTTACTGTTGGCACTGGGTGATTGAAGCAGATCGGTGATACAGCTTTACTGAGAAACCCACTAGGGACAAAATTTTACATGAAGAACTTGGAGCATCACTAGTTTTCTGTACAAGCTGAATCCTCAATTTTGCTTCCATCATATGAAGCATAAGTAATATAAGCCAATATGCATTCGATGCTTTCCCTTTACCAGTCCCATGAGCAAACACACAGGATGAGACTGTCCAGCCTTACTTGTTCTGTAGCAAAAGAGAAGTGAGGCAGAATCCAGAAGTGGATTTCCCTCCTGCAGTAGGTACACTGAGACTACTTCAGTTCATTTCTTGTTCTCTAATATCAGTCTATTTTGTTTGCTTTAGCAGAAGGGAAGTCAGCAGAGAGCAGAAGTTTCAGTCAGTTATCCATCAAACAGACCAGAACAGTGAAATTATTTGGGCCACAGACATGGAAACTGCACTTAAAAACTCCTGAGAAAATGGAAGCAAAACTGTTTAGGGGAGGGTAGCACTGTGTACAGGGACCTTTCTTTACTTTCTTTACCACCAGAAATGTTTATCCTTATTAGAGTTAACGGAAAACATTGTTCTGGCCAAGGTATTCAATCTTTAGCACAGCTGCCAGTTTACGTAGAGCTCAAGGGTCAGGAGTGTTGATGCCAACAGTTTTAATATCAAGTGTCAGCTGAGATTCTTGCACATCTGAGATCATAAGGAGAAGGCCAAGTCAGGAGAGAAGTCAGTACTAACATTACACTCATGTAATCACTTAGGCTTGCTGTTCTGAGTCTTTATCAGCTGCAAGGTACATAGAGTATTGTAGTGAGCACTGATAATACACTACATTAAGTGCTGTAGTTACAGCTGACTCTGTATGCATATAGCTATCTTTACAGGTTAGAATTTAATTTTTTTCTTTGTAAAACAAATACAAGAAACTATGAATTTGAAACTAAATTTAAAAATAACGCCTGTATTAAAAATAGAACTAACAATCTGTAGGATAAACCTGATGGTCAGATGTTTTCAGAAAAAAACAGTCCTTCTCTTAAATAGTCTTGCACAAATCTCCACCCTTGAAGCTAACACAAATTCACATTGTTTTCAGGTGTTTTATTAAAATCGAGCAATAAAATCTTTATCCTCCTGGCTAGTCTACACTGTGGCCATCATATTTATTTCCAGGTGATGCTTAATACTCTATTTTAGTGGGTAAGATTATTAAAAATAAGGGGGTATTGCTAGTTCTGATTCAGATCAGTAGTATAGGATAATGGAAAACAAGACTCATAAAGACAAGACACTATAATATCATGTCTCCTGAAATCACACTCCTTTATGCACCTACACGCATATATTTATAACAATCTGTATACTTTGTAATAAAAAGAGATATTAACATTCTTAAACAACTTAGTATAGACATTCTTATGTATTTAAACAGAGATTTGCAATAATAATCTTTCCCCCAAGCAACTCTGACAATGCAGTGTTGAAGTTATTAACACCGATTAAAAAGTAATGGGCAATATCTGACCTTATTAATTATGTCTTCTAGTTAAATGTCTCCATTTTGCTTTAGGAGAAACCTGGCAACAGATTATTCAAACCTGGAACTGTATCAAGTAAATGCTTGACCCCGATGGAGATGCATTTCCTATCAAGGATAAATCAGTTATTGCAGAGATGGACATGCTCTTAATATACCACATATAGATATATTTTCAAGAAACTGTGAGTGAGAAGGATCTGATTTGAGATGACAGACTGCAGCACTGAGAACTGAAAGAACAGAATAATAACTGTGAGGCTCAGAAATGCACATGTTGAGTCTAGCACAGCTTTGGAAAGTGCAATTAGAGGAAAATCCTTTCTCTTCCATGAAGGTCTATTAGAATCAACTGTCAGCGTGCCTTTTTCCAACATTAGATCTTTATTCTGCAGGTGCTGCATACATAGAACTGAGGTGAAAGGACAACAAATTCCATGTCCAAAGTGGCAGCCTGAGCATCTTTGCAGCTGCACAGACTCACTGTGTGTATCAGGTGCTGCTCATTGTTTGGCAACTCAAACCCACCCGACCTCCCTGAGTATGATGCTCTGTAAGTGACAACTCATGAGGTTTCTTAAAAGGAGTACCACTGACAAAACCAACATAAAATTGTGAAAAGCTTTTATTTCAATCTCTTGTATTACAATAGCCATAGTTTTATTATTGCTTTTTAAAATTAACTAAAAACTTTGCAATTTTACAACTGCTAGACCCTTTGTCCAGCATATGTGCTTTATTGGTATCCTGTGTAATGTATTTTATTCTGGACACGACATTTAATCACAGAAGACAACCCCCTTTTCATTTACGAGGATTTCATATGTTTCTTTAAAAAAACATGCTCGGAAGAACCTTGAAACTGTGGGCTACCAGACATTCATTTATTGTATGACAATAATAAATACGTTTTTAAAAAGTGCATTATATGGCAATAACCCTTGTGAAGAATTCACTTGTACAAAATCTTCATGATAAGGGAAGTGCTTGATTTGAACACAGTGCAAGCAGTCAAGTTGTCCTGAGAAGATACAGAGGTGGTCATAAGTTTACCTTCATGAAGTGCATATTACCACTACTTAATGGCTTAATCCCATTTTTGTTAACCAGAAGCCTTTTGATGCTCATTGCTGAATGTGACAAGAAAACCTAAGTGCCTGTTTCCTCTTTGATGTGACAGGTGCCAGCACTGGTGTGAACGTTTAACAGCTTAACCCAGAGATCACTCTCAGCTCAGCTGCTCCACTGACAGCCAGCAGTGCCAGAGAGCTGGACTGCCAGGAACTGCCACTGCCAGTGCTTCTCCAGCAGTGCAAGGCAAGCAAGGAGAGCAAAGGGAAACTTGGAATAATGCTTTAGTATTTAGTATTCAAGATTTTGCACGTGCCAATACCCGGAGAGGTGGCGGAAGGAAGACAATACAAGCCCAAACTCAGACTGCTGAGACATTCATTTCCTACCCCTCTGCACTGTGGTACATCTGGCATCACCCTTTAAACTGAGAGCCTCAGCCTTATATAATCTGTCCTTGTCTGAGATAACACTCAGATTTGACAGTAGCTGGCACATGACAGTCTCTCCCAGAAGATGGCAACAGCATCTTTCTGCCAGGAAGCCAAGGATTGCTCTAAGCTCCTGTCAAATACCAGGGGGACTTTTAGGGTGTGCTAGGTTTGCTGAGGGAAGAAATACAGTAATTTGGGAGGGAAAAGGACAGGGGAACAATACTTTAAAATAGTGCCTTTTATTCAGCACAGCTGCTCCTGTGTGTCTGCATGTCCACTTTCTTCTTACTTTACTGACAACTACATAATTTTGCCTCCAGGGACTTAACAATAGTGGATAAACTTTAATGGAATTCCCTAAGTCAGCAAGTTTCATCTAAGTAAGTGTACACAATTTCAATTCCTGCCACTAAAGATTCTTCTGCAGTCAGGGAAGGTGTGTTCCAGCTCACCTCACTCGACACCTACTCACCCTGGCATGATTTGGCACAACCTGCACTAATGCTGAGCTGCAGAATGGCAGCACTAATCCCAGAGTGTTCTCTCCACACTCAGCAGAGGTGATACAGTTTGTCACACCACAGGCAATCAACTACAGGGAGAACATCTCCATTTCTAGGGAGAATATAGATTGACTAGTGCAGATATTGTATGTCCTATACTGTCTTGTCACTTAGTCACAGGAGGGCCAGCATAGGAGGCAAAATTCCTTACAATTAGGCAATGGCCCTTCTTACAGAGTTCTCATCTTTTGTGCCATATGAGGAAGACAAGACTTACAGTTCCAGGCAAGAAGTTGCTGCCAGATTGGTAATGGTCACTGCTCCAACCCAGGGACAGAAAACAAGAGGTGGATTTTAAAGCAGGCAGCACTTTCCCCTTG